TATGAGGTCCATGTAAACTGGAGACTAATAATTCTTCCCAGTAGGTACCAGCCAAACCGCTTTTGAGGAATTGGGTAATAGAAGAGCATGGAGAAATGGGATAGTAGATGGAAAAAGGTGCCCTGGGGGTCTAAGGAAGGTTGCTGGGTAAAAAACCCAGGTGAAGGTGAAGGACATGGTCATATCATTATCCACTGATAGCAATGCAGGTATTAGAGGAGATAAAGTGCAAGAGTGATGCCTTTAAGTAGAGAAAATGTGGAAGGGGACAAGTCATTCATTGTGATAGGAAGGAATGAAGAGAACACACAAGTAGGGGCTTGGGGGGTATGGCAGAGGGAAAAGGAGATAGTTCTCTTCCGATTGTATCTATTTTCAGTGAAATAAGAAACCATCTTTGGCTAAGGAAGAGGAGGGGGGTGGGAAAGATCTGAGGAGAAAGTAGAAGTGAAATAGTCATTCCAGAGGAAATAAATGTATAGGTAGTGTGCCAGGACTGTGGGTAAGGCTGAGGGCCCACTTGAGAAAGATGGCCACGAGCTGGGAGTGAGGCTGTAAACGTGGTAGCTATGTTTTCCTCCAGCCATAAGCTACAAATGAAGTTTAATCGGCAGTTTAATCGGATTTTGCCAGCTGAATACAAAGGAGACAGCATCGTCACCAATAATAATAAAGTCTCATCGGGAACCTTATTACTCACAGCGCAGCATCCATATCACCGGGAATCAGGCAAAGCATCTTCATAAGATGTCTATTTAGAGACTCGGATGCATGTGAAAGTCTTAGAAATACCTGAGTGGTGGCCAAGTGAAAACAAGAAAAATCATTAAGGATGTCACTGGGATGATCTAAGGGATTGTAAAGGCACCGAGATTGTTGGCAGAAGAAATGACTGGGTCAAAGGAAGAGATGCACAGAGCCTTTTGCGAATGACTGTCCAGGTGGTCATAAGATGACCTGGAAGGCTTGGAGTCCTGCTGGCGACTGAGGCAAATGTCTGAAGGATGATGGGATTGGTGTTCTTTTAAGGGAAGGAGGTAGTTGTGGTTGCCTCATCCAGACTAGTCTCTTTAGCAGGTTATACCGATCACGAGAGCGATGCTGTTGCTGAAGAAGCTGTGGTTTGACGAGGAGCACACAGAACCCCGTGAGCTCCCCCAAGACCTGCTGCAGACTGTAGAGACTGGGAGAGAGATGGTCTTATCAGAAACAGAGAGAGCTGAGCAGGCTTCCATTAGATCCACACGCCAGCACTCTCCTTAGGGCACAGAAGCAGTATGTTGTTAAGCATTTAGCATAAAGGTGGCCACCCAAAGATCTGTGCTTGCATTAGCAAGCACAGTAATTCTGTTTAAGAGTAGAGAAATCCATTGATCTCAAAGAGAAGCAGAAAAGAAAAAAGGAGAGAAGGAGGAACAGAAACAACGGGGAGATTCATATGCTCTTCAGGATAATGAAACTCCTGAGTAGCAGCCCCAGCATATGGTGAAGAGAGGTGAAGCCTCCTATCCGAGACTGTACAAGTTTTTTCTATAAAGATCTCCTCCATTTTCCTTGAAAATATACAGTATAGTTTCCTCTCTTCGTGAGTCTATTTGTGAATGGATCTTCATCGAGACTGGAGAGAGGCTGAGGTTTCGGGAGGATCATGAGCCCCCAAAGCAGAGGAGGACATGCAAATACAGGGTGCTGGGATGTTGAAGAAATTTGAGAGAGAGTTTGGGATAAACGCAGGTTATGAAATTAAGGGGATTAGGATGTTAATCCTATACGTAAAGAGCATCGGCCCCACCGATTACTATCTTACACAATAAAACACATTCTTTTTGAAGACAGGCCAACTGCTTTCTCTGCACACTCTACTATCTCATGCCCCACAACCCTCCTGTCATTGTCAATATAACTGAATGGCTAAGAAACATTCTGGGGTGCCTGGGTGGCTCAGTGGGTTAAGCCTCTGACTTCGGTTCAGGTCATGATCTCAGGTTCCCCCTCAGAGCCCCACATTGGGCTCCCTGCTCAGTGGGGAATCTGCTTCTCCCTCAGCCTCTCTCTCTCAAATAAATGAGATAATATATATATATATAGAGAGAGAGAGACACATGAACATTATGTAATTATTATCCCTTGGGCTATGTGTTTCTCAAGGGCAAGGCCTAACGGTAATGGAAACAAAGGAAGCACTGAAATCTACAAGTTCTTTTTAAAAATCTGAATTCTCGCGGAGCACCTGGGTGGCTCAGCTGGTCAAGTATCCAACTCTTGATTTCAGCTCAGGTCATGATCTCAGGGTTGTGAGACTGAGTTCCAAGTTGGGCTCCGCACTCAACACAAAGTCAGTTTGTCCCTCTCCCTCCCCCTCCTTGTTCTCTCTCTCTCTCTCAATCTCTCTCTCTTCACGCCACCCCTTCTCTAAAATCAATCAATCAATCTAAAAATCTGAAAAGCGTCCATCAATATATTCAACAAGTAGCAAAATGACTCTCAATGCTGTCTACTTTTGTTTCGCTTACTCATTTTTAAAAAGTTGGCAAAGAATAGGGAGGAAAGAACACAAGTGGATAATCAACCTGAGAAGTTAAAAATTACATGTATGTAAAATAAAACACAAATCAAGGATCACTACTTTTCGGAAATTTATATTCATGCATTCAAGGTCTGTGATATTTTAGATGGGGTTCAACAAGAATTCAGGAGAGTGAGCGGGATACCTAACTAATTCCTGAGACCATCGGGGTCCTCCATTATAGACTTTCAGCTCAAAACTCTGACAACTCAAATTAGATGCAAAGCTATAATTATTATAGAAAACTGAATTATAATTATCCTGGCACTCACCCATAAAAATATTTCCCAAATCTATTTTAAAAATTAAAAACAGACCAAGGTCTAGAAGCATATCTAGGATCCATCTTAGTATGCTAGTTTCATTCAAGCTGAATTTGCATTTGTTCCTTAATCGCAGTGCTGAACCAGTCCTCCACCAAGAGGAAACAAATTAATTCTGAGTTCCTGAGTTAATTCTGAGATCCTAGTAGATCTTCTCTTATTTCTTACAGATAATAAAGCTGCAACCAACTAGATCAAATAAGCACAATATCCACTTTATGTGACTGGGACAATTCAAGCAAGAAAAGTATAGTTCTGTCTTTACAGAATACACACACGCACACACACGTACATACACAGAGTTTCCCGTATCTTTTGCCTACCATAATAAAAGCCAAGGATTCTAAATGTCTTTTTACCTCACAGTAAAATAGTTGAGACCATACCCAAGATGCCAGAGCTCTCAGTACAAACACTCAGGAGGGACAGCAGACGTCTATACCAAACTCTTTTAAAAGACGTTCTTTAAAAAAAAAACCTATAAACCTTATACTAGAACATAGTGAACACCTCCCACGTGATGTGATGTGGAATTATACTATAAAGATTTCCAAGTCAAACACATTTTCTCCACACACCAAAAACTGAAGACTGAACTTCCGTTATTAGCAATGAATTCCTATGTGTTCCAACATTTCCCTCTGCTAAAATGCCTGTGAGAGGGACTTCCATCATCAACAATGAGGATCAGTTAGTTGATGCAACCCGTTAGCTAGGAGCAGGTCTGAGGGAGACGATGTGGGTTGGAGTACAAGAAGGCACTGGAATCATAGCACTCTCTGGTCAAAGGCAGCAGATCTAAAAGATAACTCAACAAGGAGGAAGATTAGAGTTGGGATCCACCTACTCAATTCAGGTATCAAATTTGCTATCTAAGAAGGGAGAAGGCTAAAATTGCTGATCTCTAAAAGGTGCAAAATTTCCACTTTCGTGACACATGGTAGGCCTGGCTAAAAGAGTATAAGGCTCCGAAGTAGAGAACCAAAAAGTCACTAATGCTGGTCATAAAAGCACTGCTCAAGAAAAGAGGGCAGGCACTAAGGAAAATGTTCTACAACCGTAGCTATGTCAAAGGGCAGCTCTGCAGGGAAATCACAGTAACGCCTTAGGTGTAAAGAGACCATAAATAGAAACAGAGAAAAATTCTAGACACACATTGGGTCACTGAATTGCTCAAATGTGCATTAAAAGAAATGGGAAAGAAACTAGTTTAGCTGAAGGAAAGAATGTTCTTAAGACTAAAAGGATGATTAGCAGTGTTGATGGATTTGCTGGAAAATGCAAAATCCTGGCTTTGATGTGTTCCGTCAAGAGCACGTGCTCTGAAATGGCCACAGTAAAATTTACCCCATCATTCAATGGATATTAATACGGTGCCTGGTATGTGCTTCTGGTGGAAGTGAGAAAGGATACAGTGATGAAAAAGACACCTCTACTCTCAAACCTCCAACATCTGACAGAGGACGTAACAAACACAGCGGGACACACTACAACTGAGTCAAGCAAAGATTAGAGGTTTGGAGGAAGAGTTAGAGTTTTTGTTCTCATTTTCATTTGTGAAGGATCACAGTTCCCTCACATATTCATTCACACTAGCCAACGTCAAGAATTTCTAAGGACAAGTTTAGACACTTAATGAAGAACAGCAGTTCCCGAACCATCTGCTTTGCTCTGAAAATAAAGATCCGTCACACGCAAATTTTCATTTTACTCCAACCCTGTGAGAATATTATTGTCAGCTGGGGTAGGTAACATTTGGTTTATAATTGACATGGTGAACAAACCATGCTTTATAAAATGGCTACAATCAGTGCTTCTTTGGAGCGAAAAAAAAAAAATAAACCATCATATGAGGCCAAAAGTAACTCACTTTCATCAAGTTCCTTTGATCCATTTAAGTGTCCTGTTACTAATCTTCTGATGAAGAAATGTGCAAAACACAGAATTTAAAATGAACAACAGGACCTTGTTACAGTCAGACAAAGATATATAACAGAATATCCTGAAAGGATTTTTTTTTTTCTTACAAAGGGAAATAATCTCCCAAACTCATATCATACAAAACTGCAGATCAGAGCAGCCCAACCCTGTGCTGTGTGTATCAGTCCTACCTGGTAAGGAACGATACTGCCGTGAGCCGTGCCCCAACGTTTTGCTTCCTTTTGGCCAATGAGATAATTAGCAGCTACCTGGGTCAAACATGCCACCTGCCAGGAAAAAAAAAAAAAAAAGTAGTTTATCCACAATCATAAGCAGAAGGTTATACTATGAAAGTTCTCATTTGCAAGTTCATGTCATTGCAAAAAGAGAGAGAGAAGCAACTCCGAGCAGATCAGAAAATATACAGGCATCACCGTACAAAGAAAGGAAGAGCAGTATTACATTATCGCATGAGACTAACTATGAACAGCACTCGGCGCTCGAAAAGATCACCTGAAGACAGAGGTCGACCCAATAGATAAAACCCTGGGCCAGCCTTTAGCGTCAAGACCACAGCAAAATACATCGGCAACTGGTACGTTCCTCTCCCCTCTTCACCCACGTCCTTTTACTTTCTGTCAAGATGACAAAAAAAGAGCCTGTGTCATCACTGAGCAGCTGAACCAGTCATGAGCCATATTCCTCTAAGTTTCTCATTTCGTGACAAAAATAGCAATAATAAACCTCTATTTTGTTTAAGTCCGTTCAGTCAACTTTTCTGGAGCTAGCTGCCCAAAGCATCCTTAATGGACACACAGGGTCCAAATTATTTGACTTGTGAAAATTCCTCAGCGAATCATCCTCATTTACACAAAAAGTGCTCTCCCTCCCTCAACTTAGTCCTAAACCCATAGCCTCATTATTATAATTATTTCAGTTTTCAAAAGCCCTAGACCTATTAAAGGGGTCATCTAAAGCCTTAAGGTCAATCTCTGACTCCCGCAGTATTTCATACACATCGCTTAAAAACCTACAACCCTCCAATTCCAGATGAGGAGAATAGGAAAAGAATGAACTCGATTCCCGGTGACCTGCCACAAGGAGCTTATGTTCCCATGAACACCCATGACACTAAGGGCCCCAAACTATGAAAGACAAACCTAATAACAACCTTCCATAGTTTCCAGAAAAAAAAAAAAAAGCTTCTGGCCTCATAATATAATCACGATATACCATGGGCTCATTTTTCCCATCCTAGATCATCAGATGTGACGTGGCTCCCAAGCCAGCAAGTCAAACAGATCCCAAACTGAGTTCGGCTGCTGGAACAACTCCAGGGATGGTTTTTTAGGGCTTGCGGAGGCAACCTGTGATTGGCCTCTACCTGGCCCAGCAGCTTGCCTCCCACACAGCCTATCTCCATAGGGCTCAGCCTGCACAAATCTCCTTAGAGCAGCAGACATTCTCCTTTACTTTATTCTTGGGATTTACACTCACTTTTATGTTCATTTACTGCTCTGTTGAAATTGGAACTGCCTTATGGCAGCTGGTTCGGCTGTACTGCCCAGGTGGCAAAACTAATAAACTTTGAGTCATCCACTTCTGGACCTCCATCTGGTCTCGGGCATTTGAACCATGGAGCATTCCAGGGCTGCCTGGGGCTGCCTAGTGCTAATCGCCATTTCACAGATCACTTCTGTGTCTTTCAAAATGGAAAATCAAATCAACATTTTGTAGTAAAAAATGCACTGGATGGGAAGTCCAGTTTCACGGTTTTTCATTTCTGTCAACTCTAAGTAGTTGTACGACTGTCGGTATTTAATTGAACTATGTTGACCTTCAGACACATTCTCTATAAAATCTTGGGCATTTGACCAAAAGGGATGGTTTTCAATCTTTTTTTTTTTAAAGCAGAACTCCTGTATCAAACCAAATTAATGCATGAAATCCTAATATGTGAGCAGGTTAATACCCACAGTGTTCTGGTTGAAGCAGAAGCAGGCCTCCAGTGTCACAATGTCACCCTGGGCAGCATAAACACAGAACACAATTTGCAAAAAAGTAAATGGTCTTATATTTGCTTCTAAGGTCTACACCTCTGACTGTTATTCTTCTTAATAGTCTGGCAGATAATAGAGATGCAAGTATAGTCATTTTCCCATAAAAGCTCTCCTTGAAATTGGGGAGATTTTCTCAAGTCTGAGGTTTTTCTAGAAGAAAGGTTTTTCTTTGACCTACCTCTGTTGGGAGTGGGAGTCGGGGCTGTTCCTTTCGAAATAAATTCTGGTGCTACTGGGGGCCAATGAGTCACATTAATAAAGGTAATACTTTATAAGCAAAGAATCATAAGAGGCTTGGTATCTCTACTTTTTTAATTTCAAAGTCAGCTGATAGGCAGTAGACCAACATCAGCATAGCTGCAAGTGGACTGGGGCACCTGGGTGGCTCAGTCAGTTAAGCATCTGCCTTCCTCAGATGATGATCCCGAGGTCCTGGGATTGAGCCCCACATCAGGCTCCCTGTTCGGTGGGAAGTCCACTTCTCCCTTCCCTCTGCCCACCCCCGCCTCCTGTGCATGCTCTCTCTCTCTCTCTCTCAAATAAATAGAAAAAATCTTAAAAAAAAAAAAAAAGAGGTAGGACTGACTGGATGATCACAGGTTAACCTGTGAATCCTAGACTGATCTGAGATGCTTGACAGGAGTAGGTATGGGCTACATTCTGGGCTGGAGATCAGCCTGACTGCCTCATTTCGGGTCCATGACCTCTTTCTTTCTTCTCAATTTTGACTTCTGTGTTTCTGACCCTACCTTGCTAAGCTGTATCTTTGACAACTATTTCATAAAAGTAACCCTATTCAGAGTAAAGTTTGAATGGACAGTCAACACTCATCTCATAGGCTATTTCTAAATGGGATGCCCTATCAATTTCCTCCACACAGTGGTAATTCATGAAAACAAAAAGTATTTCAGAACCAGCAGGCTCCCACTGGGCAGAAAGGTTAGATAAGGTTTTTAAGCCATGGCCACTCAAAAACAAAGTGTGATTTCGTCAGTATTCAGAGGCAAATCTGGGGGGGGGGGGAAGAATTCTATTAAAAAAAAAGAGAGAGAGAGCAACAGGGCTAAACTTAGCAACCCAGTGTTTAAAAGGGGCATTGCAAATCTGAGAGTAATCTACTATTACAATGAAGTATTTTAAGGCAGAAGAAGGGGGAGAAAGTCAACAGTTATGACGTGATTCTGTATGAAAAATCAGGCTTCCTGGCAATTAATGACAAATTTTCCACAAATCAAAAGAATGCAGGATGTGACTTTTAGGTTAATAACTACATACTGTATATCCATTCTAAATATTGCATTAGATCATTACTTTCATCTCCTAAACTTAGGCTCATTATTTCATCATGTGGATGCTATATAATTTACTCAGAATGTTGCCTTTATATGGTTTCATCTAAACAAAAAGGCCAACTTTGGTTTAATAATAATCATTCTGACAGCAAAACTCTTATTTTAGATAACATAGTGGGTCCTGGTATTCTGTGTGTCTAACCAGAAAACCCATATGTGGTCAACGTGGATCTCAAAGGGCACAGCCCCAAAAGACATGAGGAAGAATACACCCAATTATTTCCCAAAGCAGCCCCATGTTCTCTGCCACCCCATGGCTCACTTCTAGCAAATGAGGATCAAGCTGCAACAATAGAACATTTCATCTCCAAAAGGACAACCAAGTATGACGGGTAAAGTGGGGAAAACAATACTCGAACTCTGGTCCATGACATCATTACTGGTGGATGTTCCTCCCTCCTGCTCCCTTGCATATTCTGGCCTCCAAGTGAGCTGCGCTGAACACCAGTCACGCTTCGCTTCTGCACCTGCCCATCTCTCCATCCACTCTTACACCACCATTTCCATTAAGTCCCCCTCATCACCAAAGCAAAACACTATTTTCCTTGCCTCTGAACAAACACAACACCTTAACCTACCTATTCAGGCTGCACTCTCACAGTCTACCCTGTACTACAACTACACTTACAAGATGGCAAGTTAAGAAGACCTAGATCAGTGGTTCCTAAACCTAGTTGTGCATCAAAATCACCTACAGAATTCCTCGATCCCACCCCAGGCCTCCTGAATCTGACTCTCCAGGGATGGAGCCTGGGGCGGGGGAAATAACTAATACATCATTCACTGCACACCAGATCTGAGAACCAAAACCTCAGGAAAATCTAGCCAAACCCCTTAATATTAGACATGGATAAAGAAAGAAACAGAAAAGGAAATAACTTATCTGAGGTCACAGAGCTTGCTAATGACAGCGCTTTAAACCACTCCAACTACAGTGTCCTCCTCCATGCTCCAATATGACTCATAGCTGATCCTATCCCTCCTTTTAAATTGGAACTATTCCAAGGTAAGAACTGCGTACTGCAAATCCTTCATACGTTCTCAGAGGACCTAATGTAGAGTTTCTACAGTAATTTTTTTAACACACAAATGAAAATAGTAATTACTAGTTTCTTTATTCAACAAATATGGAGTGCTGCTTTGTAGAAGGTATTGTGTTAGGTACTGGGTACGGAACAGTAAATGGAAAGATGCAGTCCTGCCCCCTTTGTACTTAAGAATAGTGGAGAAGACAACTAAACAGTTACAGGAACTGCCATGGGGAAAAGTTTCAAAACAAAAAGAATAACACGTGTGAAAGCCGTAAGGCAAGAGAGTGGCATAATAACACGTGTGAAAGCCGTAAGGCAAGAGAGTGGCATACAGGAAAGAATACAAAAAACAGAAAAGGAAAAAAAAAATCTGAAAGTACCCCCAATGTAACTAAAGCATGACAAGAAAAAGATGGGAAATGAAATTGGAGAGGTTGACAGATCATGCTACCTCCTGCAGGTCATGAGTAAGGAAGGACTCATTCTCTGCACACCTTTTAGAATGATCGTTTTGGTTTTTAAAGTCATCTCTATACCCAACGTGGGGCTCGAATTTACAATCCTGAGATCAAAAGATGCATGCTCCAATGACTGAGCCAGCCAGGTGCCCCTTACCATGATCACTTTAAAATCAAGGACTATAGCACATCATCCTTCTATTTAAGTCACAGGGCTTCCCACTGATTTTGCAATTAAGTCCAAAGAATGGACTGAATAGAGACAAGAGAGAAAAGGGACCAGTTATGGAAATTGTGCAGGTCCAGGCATAAGCTGATGATAAGCTCAGACTAGGTTGGTGGCAGTGGAAACAGAAAAATTAGTGGGTTTAAGACATATGTTAGGA